GATGCACTTGTTCCTAATAGCTTCTTGGTTTCTAATAGCTTCTTGTTCCTACCGCAGTAAGGCCAGGAGCCCCTAGTAGCGTCCTTGCTCCTAGGTACTCATGGGATCCTTGCTGAGATCTCCAGCATCTTCCATTTTGCTCCTAGGGCGACTCTTCGTTGAGGAGGTTTGGGCAGTCTGGGAGTCTGCGAGTTGAGATCCTTTCCCCTTTCAGCCGGCTCCTACTTAATTAAGTAGGGGAGTAGTTCGCTACTAGAAGATTCTTCTAGTAACTGGATGCAGGATAGCTCACGCTTCTTCAAGGAAGCTCCCCCCCGCCTGAGGTCGGGGGAACTTCCTTGAAGAAGCGCTCGCACAAATGTTTTGGTTCCTAGATTTATAGGTCCACTTCTTGTCATGTGCATTTGTACCGCCCTGGAGGTGTACTATCAAGTTTTTGCACCTCGGCACCAGTCGCAGGGTGTGAAGGGTATGTGGGATCCGTTCTTTGACATCCTACCTTCGTTTCGTCTCTTCAAGTTCCCTAACCATTGAGATTGGCCTTGACTATTCGGCGAAGTACACCTATCGCTGAGAGTACTGAGGTGTACACTGCACCCATCGCCAAGACACAGGCTTGCGCCGATGTCGTGGACGTTCTGACGGGCGACTATATTTCTGCCAAATTGAAGGCGGACTGGTCGTCGACCACCCCTTTTTAGCCCGCATAGCCCGCTCCTCCCTTCCTACTTAATTAAGTAGGTGCCTACTTAATTGAGTAAGGGATTAAACATGCTGCTAGGCTAAGTTAGCGTCGGATAGCTCACACTTCCTTGAAGAAGCGCTCACACTATTCATTTGGCTGCTAGTTTTTATGGACACTTACTTGCATTGTTTGCTCCTTATGTCACCTTTAAAGCAGCACAACTCAACTGACATTTGTGCGCGGAGGGGATTTCGTTTCAGTCTGTCAGTTGGGCGAACGATGGCCTGCTGGGAGGTTGCAACTCTAGCTGACTGGTTCCCAGGTCTCTCCCCCACACCAGGGGTGACATAGGTTTTTGTACCAAGACTCTGACAGAAGATATCTCAGCACTAAGCTGGATTGCGGCCTCTCAGATCGCCTCCGCCAACGACACGCTGGCAGAGCAGCAGTTCCATTCCATTGTGGGTGCAGCGCATATGCGCCAGTGGTACAAATATCGAGCAGCCTACGCCATGATGGAGGACACGGGGGAGGAAGGGATGGATGTGGGAGCAGGCAAATCTGCAGAGCAAGCGCTCGCACTGACAAATGAGGTACGAGGAGGGAGAGGAAAAGAAAGGACAATGGCTGTTATCCGGTGGGTGTACAGTTTGCTTTGCCAGGAGCAAGAACGAGGTCAAGGTTGGAAGTATGACCTTGCACCTCGTGCAAAGAAACGGTCTGTCCGGTATGAACAAGGCAAAGCCTGTCTTGATCGCCCCAACATGGTTCATTGACAGTAAACCACACCGGGCTCAGAAATCCTCTACTCATTTGCGTGCAACACTATGAGGTTGCTGCTTTGCTCTTTCTGTGTGGTACGGTTCAAGACAGTGTTGATTCTACCTTGCCCAGATTCTGGTTAATATCAGGTTGGAGGCCATCGCTAGTAGGTAGGAGGCCATTGCTATAAGAATTTCTTTGTTTCAGATTCTACGTATCTCTCCTTGCGGTCACCGATCGCCGATCGCCCCGCCCCGCCCGGTGCAGAAAACCACACGGCAGACCCAGGTGCTGAAGGTTCGGAGCGACGTGGAGCTCTCCTCGCCATTGAGCCTGGCAGACTTCCCCGAGGTCTACTCCAACTGACGGGAAGTCTGCACAGGATGTTTCCAACTAAAGTCGAGTCGGGAACTGTACGGAAACGCTTCGGAAGAAATGGGTGGATGGTGAAAGACAGCAGAAGTTAGATCCAAGCAAATGCCCGTAAGGGTGTAAAGATTTTTGAACAGACTTTGGAATTTGGGCCAGGTAGCAAGAGCTCGTGTCATCTACAGTGCCGGAGACATCATGTTCTTCAGCAACCGTGAGGCCACCGTCATGTGCTTCGGGCACCCAGTGCTTGTAGCCGATACTTGTAGCCCACAGCGCTTTGGGCAGGTAGCCCACACGTTGTTTGACGACATCCTGGAGAAGATGGCAGCTCGAGCTGGCAATGAACGCAGGCAAGAGACGTCACCTAGAGTCACCAAGATCCAGAGTCACCAGTTGTGTAACTGGGTTCTTTTTCCGAGTCCAAATTCTAGAGACTTTCACAATTCATAGCATTTTGAGATGACAAAGCCACACACTTCATGCAGCCAAGGGTTTCCTCATGTTTCCTCTAACCAAAGGCCATGCCAGCCCTTTTCGCTGTGTGCAGGCTACTTCCCCTGAACTATGATCGAATCCTGCGGACTGGCGAAGGCAATGCCTTGCCCTTGCAGATCTTCCCGGATGTCGGGCCTGAGCTGCGGGACGCACTCTACAACAAGCTCTTGTTTCCTCATCAGCGTCAAGGCAGCTGCGATGAGTTGAGATGGGGAGAGGGGAACAGGCTTCAAGAGAGCTGAGGAGAAGGACATTTTTTAGAACAGGTGCAAGATCTTTGGCCTCAGATCCCAACAGTATCAACTTGGCTGTGTTTGGTTTGCATTGGTGGTCCATGTGAATTAGGCCACTCCACCGTGGGTCCGCAGGTATGTTGCTCTCGACCATTCGGAAGCATCGTTCTGCGCTGGAAGCTGCACACCTTCGAGCGTCCCAAGGAGTGGCAGCAGGGCACCCCAGAGCGTCCCAGAGATTGAGGGTTGCGAGTGGCTCAAGTGGTCGCGAAACCATCTTAGCTGGGCCTTCCTGGTCTCATGATGTCTCATGCAAGGGCCATCAACATTTGCTTTGGATGGCGTTGAAGTTAGTAAGAAGCATCATATATTTAGAACTTGATATATAAGCCATCGAAATGGGGTGAGAGTTTGCATGGTGACCTTGACAAGAGGGAAGGCTCCTTTGCTCAAGCTTCCGGTTGTCCTTCTTACTTTGAGGGCCATTCTGTCGATTCCTATTTGAATTTGGTCTATGCTGGTGCGCAGGTGCCCACTGTTTCCGGGCATTGGAGGTGGGAATTCGGGGAGCCTTGCAGATGACTGCTCAGATGACTTGCATTGAAGTCTTCAAACCGTTTGGTTGCACATAGTGGCCCCTGACAAGATAAGAAACACTCACCAAGATATTGTCAGATAAGCCACATCATATATAGTATAGCTGATATCGATTGATATCGCGTATAGCCGTATAACACAGGGTAGTAGATGATATTGATCATATCACATCGTATTTTTAATACACATATCATATCAATCCAATGCCTTTCAAAGGCAGCTATAAGATATACACCTTGAGCTAGTTTGATGTGGCCGGAAGGTTCCGCAACGACACCAAGCAATTCCAGTACTGGAAGAAGGTGAACCGCGTACCACGTGATCATGAGATGTGCTCGATGAGGCAAAGAAGGGCAAAGAAAGACTTGCTTCCATCAGTAATATCAGTAGCACTTGGGTGCTTATTTGTTTAGATTGGGAAGGCTCCGCTCAGTTCCAATATGTTGAGCACGGAAAAATGCCGACACTGCGTTGAAGGCATTGGTTCTATCACGTTCATCGTGCTGAACCAGAAGTTCTCATGAAAGCTTGGACACAGCCAAAGCCGCAACTGTCCAAGACTAGGCAGGGCATGCGACTGTTAGTGTGCTCCATGATGCGATTGCATGTTTAGATTCAGAGGATCTCACTAAAGTTTGACTCCCAAGCCCGATGGTGCAATGCAGTGTGGATGATGGAGTGTGGGCGACCGGATTGAGTTGTGTTGGTTGCACGAGGCACTATCAGCACTGCAACTGTGAGCCCCCAGTGCCTCGCACTCAGACCGAAGACACGAGACACGAAGACCGAAGACGTGTGTATCAGTGATAACATCAGTGATATTCTTCCAGGCCAGCTTTGGTCATTCCAAGGTGCATCCCAGATGGATGGCCCACGCCATGGCCAGAGGTCAAGCAGCGACCACCGCCATGAAAAAGGGATCAAAAGGTGCGTGTGTGAGAGCAGCCGCGATGGTTGTATCATTCTGTGGACTTACTGCCAACCGATGCCACCTACGGATACCTAAGGCATGAAAGATACAAGCATGGCCCAGCCCAGCACATGACATGGGCGATTTTGCTTGGTCTTTTCGTGCAGGCCTGACCCGAGACGGGCTTGAAGAAGTCATTTACACAGGCAGGAGATTGCGGCTAGTAGCAAGGGCATCGCTACTAGTAGCTCCTGGCATTACTACTAGTAGCATGAAGCTACTAGTAACAAAGGGCATCGCTACTACGAGAAAGGACGTTACTGGTAGCTCCTGGCGGGAAGAAGTCATTTACAGCTCCGGCTAAAGCTCGCCGTTGCAGGACAAAGCGAAAGAGCTTGGATGCTACCAGCTCCTCAGATCCGGGGCATGGTGGTCTGACTTTGCCGATTATTTATATAATTAGATTTCTGTGCAAGCATGGCCGGTGAACACATCAACAACACATGAAAAGTTGTTGTATTGTAGAGGGTTGCGTTTGCTTTGATCAAACACGTGTTCACTCTCGGCCAGATGAAACCTGTGGTATTCCACAGGTTTTATGCAGCCAAAGTTTGTTGCCATATGGACGCCAATGCCAACAGAAGAGCTGTGCTGCCAGGGTTGGTGCAGTGGTCTTCACTCCGATCGAATCGCTTGTTTTCCTGTCGCTTGAGTTAGTGTTGTTATAAATGCTGCATGGGATGGCTTGGGGTTGTGAGGAACCCGTGACAAGCCTTGACGGTGGTTTCAGCGGTTTCGCGGCTTCCCTTGACAGCGTTTGATCACACGGTCACGTGCAACAATTGCCTCTTGGCTGCGTTGAAGGTCTCATCATATGCATCATTCTGCTTGTGGTCGCTGTCCTGGCGGCGATGTATGTGAGACGGAAGCGGCAGATGGCTGCGGCACGAAACCAAGAGGTCAGCACACCACAGCTGGAGCTGCGTGTTACTTGAGGCAGATATTGAAAGCTGACTGTGACCATGACTAGAGGGGTTAGGTTTTGTTTGTCACAAGACTGGCAACATACCCATACCAAGCGGATGAATGGACGGAAAGAGCTTCTTTTCTAGGTGAAAGTATAATCTGAAACAATGTTCGCACGCTAGATCCTGTAAGCCGCGTCAGGCTCCTTCTTTCTTATACATACAGAGCTGGAAAGTTGCAACACTCATAGTGAGTAGCTCGGGGCTCATTCGATCATTCGAATCATTTTCTCACGGCTGTCCCAACACAACCTGAAAGGAATCTTGGAGGGAACTGATTGAAAGACACCTCCGTAGTTTCCGCATTCATGTTTTCAAGAACATGAGGTTGACAAGATCAGTTAAGCCAAGCTGGTTTCGCTCCGCTTGGCGGTCCCAGGCTCGCGAGGTGGAAGAACCCTTCAGCCAAGCCTGATTTAATGCTTGTTTCGGGTGCTCATTCTGGTGGCTTTAGAGGAAGCGCATGTCTCACACCTGGGATCAGTTCCAAGACATGAAGAATTCATCGACCAATCAGAAACAAGAAGCTAGTAGTAACAGGTGCCTTACTACTAGTAACAAGAAGCTACTAGGAGCAAAGAAGCTAGTAGAAACAAGTGCATCGCTACTAGTAACAAGTGCCTTACTACTAGGAACAAGGTTCGCTACTAGGGGCTCCTGGCATCGCTACTAGGAGCAAAGGGCATCGCTACTACGAGCAAAAACGCTACTAGGGGCTCCTGGCCTTACTACTAGGAACAAGGTTCGCTACTAGGAGCAAAGGGCTGGAGAACATTGGCGATGACCTCAACCCATTTGCCCCCTTTGACACCCAACGCTGAAGCCACCAGAAGCGAACACCTCTTTTCAAGGTCTCACTGAGTACTATTGATGGAGGAACACCTAGACCTCATGCACCGAACATGTGCTTGTCATTGGCTGCTGCCATCGTGCACAGCTTGGCACAAGCAGATATTCAAAATGCAAGAGGTTCAGGACTTTCTCCATCAAGGGTCACTTACATAGATCTTTTGCATATTTTGCGTTAATGGTTTGACGCTGCTTTGGGGGGCCTTGAATTGTACACCAGGATCCTAAAGCCTGAGTAACCATACACTTCTCATTCTGGCAACATTAGTTTTCTTGGTCCACCTGCAGTAGAGCTGTCTTCGGACACTTGTAAATGCCAAGGCTGGGTCCTCAGTGGTCTTGCAGCCGTGGTGGAAGCGGACGGCGTTGACAACTATTGCACACTGCCTTTGTGGGTTTGTTTCTCAGCTTCCCTCACCTTCAAAGGTTATAGCCTCGTGGCGGATTGTTGCACAGGACAAAAGTGACCCAATTTGTCACAGCTCTGGGTGTTTTGCTGGCTGCCAGCTAGCAACAGAGAAAAGAACGGCAGCTCTGGTTTCACACATATATATATATATATATACATACTGTATTTTAAATTGCATTTTCCGCGCAAGATCTTCAGCTTCAAAACAAGAGACAAGAGCCCAAGTTGACCTCCAGCTTCACTTGTGCTATTCTGTGGCGAAGCCTTAGCCCCTAGCCATCCTCAGCCACCAAGCCCAACTCACACCACACGAACTCTTTCAACAAGTGGGGGACGATCCCTCAGCCGACAAGCACACCTCCGAAGTGGCCCATGTTTGGTTTACCAGTCTCCTATGTCTCTTGTCGCATCTCTTCAGATGGGGACGTAGCCATGGGCAAGGAGTATGAACTGCGACATTCCTCAGCGCTTGCTCGCGTCACAGTCCGGACCCACAGTAGTCAGGCGCACTGCTGCAGTTGCTGGGAGCCCTTTGCTGAGGTACATGTGCCTGCAGCGTCGCAGAGGTTTGCCATCTTGGCATTTTTCGTTGCCAGGGGGGCCCAGCCATGTTGAGTAAGACCCTTTGCTGATTTCATGACATATGTATAGTTGCATAGATGGATGGGCAGGTAGGTGACATAATGTGACAAGACAAAAAAGAAAGGACACTATGATAATGGATGATGCATTGTGACAAGATATAGACCTGGAATAATGACGTGACCTTCTTAGTCAAGCAGATGGCACCGAGGCTCTTCATGGCATTGCCCTGCAGTTTTGCATCCAGACCAGTGGTGAAGCCCATCAGGCCATTGGATCCAGGATTTGGTGGTCACGGTATGTATGGTACAGCAAGCTTTTTTCATGTCTAGTTTGTCCTGATGCCCAGTTGGGCTCAAGTGACTGTACAGTAGAAGCCTTCCTCAAGAGGTTGTCATCTCGAATAATCTAGGGGCAGCCCTGTAGAACCATCATATCATGGAAGCTTCAGCAAAATATCAAGCCTCCTGGAGTCCTGGAGGTAGTATTTAACAACTAGTTGCAATGGTTGTGATGGAGCATGTCCCACTGTCTCAGGGCTTTTGGATAGATTGTTTCGGTTCTTTGATTCAACCGTGGCGTACAATAGAAAATTGCCAAACTTGTATTTAGAGCTAGCCGCTAGTCACTGAAACCGGCACAGTACTGCCGCTGCGAAGCTTGTTCGATGGTGCCAGGTGGCCTTAGAGAAGATCCGAAAGAAGAACAGAGAGGATTTCCTCAATGGCACCAAGGAGGAGGACCGGGGGAAATGGACGACCAATGATAAGCAGAATTCGAGCTTGAAAGCAGCTGGCAAAGTTGAGTTTTCGCTGCATGTTGATAATTGAAATCCTTGAAGAATAATAATAATAAGAATAATAATAATAATAAGAAGAAGCAGCTCAAGGGCTTGCTTCGACAAGCAAAATAGAGTGTCGAGGAATGGATACCATAAGATTGGCATAGTCAACTTGTTGATGCAGACAAGATAAAACTCATTCCCCGTCAGCTACGGAGGACAAGATGCCTTACGAGCTTCCCTCCGAGTGGGTTGGTCCCTCAGTTACAGCCCCATAAGCTGAGTTGCCACCATTGGGCCCTGATGCGTACACCGGAGCGATCGCCAAGGCTCCGAATCCCTGGGCAAGTGCGTCGCTCTTTGGGACGAAGCTTCGACTGCAGGGAGATTCGGGAAGTGGAGTACTGTGGGTCGAGTAGGGCAGAATGACAGATTTGAAGAGTCTAGAGACGCTAGAGTGGGACCAGAGTGGGACATGAAGGACGAGACATTCCCAGAGTTTACTTCCGTGCAAAGGAAGCGCCGATGGCACTAGAGTGGGTGCTCCGCTGTTTGAGGATTAAGTTTCAGACCCTCTTTTTCAACCGCGGAATAGAATCCATAGCTCAAGGTTGGTTCAGTCCAAGTTTAAGTGCACTCAGCCCCTAGTATTTGATAAAGAGAGACACGGAAAAACCAATGTGTCAAAATCCAGTGGTTTCCTGCAAGATCTGCTATGTAGATGACTGGTAGAGAACATCGCAGCCCTTGAACACAACTTGTGGCTTGACCTTTCTCACAAGCTCAGGCTCTCTTTGCATGCCTTCTTCTTCCTCCTTTGCCGCTGGAAGGTGAATCCCGACAGCTTGCGGACTTTTGACACGCTGTTTTGTGTGGCTTGAAGTTCTCGAATGAAGGAGATGGACTCCAGAACTTTGTTCTTTCGTTGCTGACATGTCAAGGATAAAGGTGTGTCTGTCTGTGTGCAGGTTGGCTTTAGAGCCATGGTACACTTCCAACCTGCTCGACAAGTGCGGGATGGGTACTATGTGCAGGCCAGCTAGCTGGGATCTCCATGGACAACTGTCCAAACTTTCATCAATCACGGTCATGTGATGCCTTCATAGCTATGATTCCGTATTGGCCAGATCCAACCGTCTCCATTTCTAGCACCTATGCACTGAAATTTGTGACCATTCTGTCCACAGGCCTATGGTGGAAAAGAGGGGGAATCATGGTATCCAAAGTATCCCCACTGTGTGGACCACTTTAGCACAAGCTCGCTTTAGCCCGCTTTACTGATTTACTCAGTGACATACCCTCTGTGTGCGGAACGACGCAAGGTAGTGCCCTTGCCACACCGGGGGCAGCCGGCCATGGTGCCGCTCACGTGCCATGGGGAAGGGTTTGAGACGAGGAACGGGGAAGAGTTTAATCACGAAAGGTAGCGGTTACGCTACCTGAGTTTTCCTTTTGCTTTAGCAAAAATGTATTAACCCAGAGCTGCAGCCTATCTCTCGGAGAAATGGTCCCCGACATCTTCGTTTGCTGGCCGGGGGGGGGGGGGGC